TTTATTGTGAGTTTTTATTTATTTTTATTTTTTATTACTGATTTAATTTTATTATTTATAATCAGTCTGTTCAGATTTTCTGATTCTTTCTGATTCAGTTTTCGTAGACTGTATGTTTCTAGTAATGTATCCATTTTGTCAAATTGTCCAAATTTTTGGCATATGTTTTTTTGTAATGTTTTCTTACAATCTATCATTGCTGTGTTGTCAGTTGTTACTTCTCTTTCATATCTGATTTTATTTATTTGGCTCCTCTGTCTTTTTATCTTGAATACTATTGCTAAAGGTTTATCAATCTTGCTTACTTTTTAAAGTACCTCCTGTTGGCTTTATGGATCCTTTGTATTGTCTTTTAGACTCTTTTGTTTATTTCTTCTATGATTTTTATTACTTCCTTTCTTCTGCTTACTTGAGGCTTTGCTTGTTTTCCTTTTTTAGTTCCTTTAAGTGTAAAGTTAAACTGCTAATTTGATATTTTTCTTATTTCTTGAGGTAGGCTTGAAATGTTATGAATTTCCCTGTTAGGACTACTTTTGCTGTATTCCACAGATTTTTGGGTTTTTGTGTTCTTATTTTTATTTGTTTCAAAGTACACTTTAATTTCTGCTGTGACCTCATTGTTAACCTATTCATTGTTTGAATAGTTACATGTTATTGTTTAGTAACATGTTATTTTGCTTCCATGTCTTTGTATGTTTTTGTTTGTTTGTTTGATGTTTGTTCATTTTTCCTTTTGATTGATTCCTAGCTTCATACCATTATGGTCAGAGAAGATACATAATATGATTCAATCTTTTTACATTTATTTATATATTTTTTGTCTTCTAACATATGTTCTATCCTAGAAAATGTTTCATGTGCACTTGAAAAGAATATATATTCTGCTGATTGGGGGTACAATGCTCTGAAGATATAAATTAAATTAATCTGATCTAGTGTGTCATTTAAGGTTATAGTTTTCTTGTTGATTGTGTGTTTATAAAAGTTATTCATTGATGTCAATGGGGTGTTAAAGTCTTTTACTATAACTGTATTACTATCCATCGCTGCCCTTACGTCCATCAAGATTTGCTTGTAGATAGCATTTTTTTTTAATTGTCTTGTTTTTCTTATTCATTTAACTACCTTATGTCCTTTTGTTGGAGCATTTAAATCATTTGTATTTAAAGTGATTTTTAGTAGGTACACATGTATTATTATTTTATTCTTTATAACTATGTTTCTCTTTTCTTTGTTCTTAAAGAAGACCCTTTAACAATTCTTATAATATTGGTTTGGTTGTAATAAAACTCTTAGTTTTTTCTTGTCTGGGAAGTTATTTAATTCTTCTTCCATGTTAAATTATAGTTTTGCTGAATAAAGTAACCTTGGTTGTAGGCCCTTGCTTTCCATTACTTTTAATATTTCATGCCTCTCCCTACTGGCCTAAAATATCTCTGTTGAGAAAAGAGCTGACAGTATTTTTTTTTTTTTTTGATCCTCACCCGAGGACATTTTTCTCTTTTTTGTTCAGATAGAGTGGGAGGGAGAGAGGGGAAGAGAGAGAGAGAGAAACACTGATGTGAAAGGGACACATCAAGTGGTTGCCACCCACACGATGGTTATCCAGGGCCGGGGACAAACTGCAATCGAGGTACGTGCCCTTAATGGGAACTGAACCCGGGTCTCTCTGGACCGCAGGCTGATGCTCTAACTGCTGAGCCAAACCGGCCAGGGTGAACTGACAGTCTTATGCGAGCTCCCTTGTAGATAACTAAGGGCCTTTCTCTTTTAAGATTCTCTCTTTGTCTTTAAACTTTGGCATTTTAATTACTATGTGTTTTGGTGTGGGGCCCTTTGGGTCCATCTTGTTTGGGACTCTCTTCACTTAATGGAATTGAGTGTCTTTTTCTTTCACCAGTTTAGGAAAGTTTTTATCCATTATTTTTCCAAATAGTTTCTCATCCCATTGCTTTCTATCTTCTCATCATGGTACCCTTATGATGCAGATGCTATTGTATTCCATGTTTTCCTAAAGGTCATTTAAACTACCTTCATTTATTTTAATTTTTTTTTTCTGCTCTGATTGGGTGTTTTATGCTACACTGTATTCCAAGTCACTGATATGCTACTCTGATTAATTTAATCTAATGGTTATTCCTTCTAGTATATTGTTCATTTGAGGTGTTGTGTCTTTCATTTCTGGCTGTTTTTTTTGATGGTTTCTATGTTGTTTTTCATGCTGTTAACGTTCTCACAAGTTCCTTGAGCCTCATAGCCATATTTTTAACATTATATTTGGTAGGTTGCTTGCCTCCATTTCATTTAGCTCCTTTTCTGGAGATTTATTCTGTTCTTTCATTTGTGACATGCTTCTTTGTCTCCCCATTTGGTTGCTTATTTGTGTTTATTTCTGTTATTAGGTAGATTTTTTATGTCTCCCAGTTTTGTTATAGTGGCTTTATGTAGTAGGTATATTTTGAGACCCAGTGGCACAATCTTCTTGATCACCTGCACTGGGTGGTCCAGGAATGTCCCTTGTGTGGGTTATGTGAGCTCTCCAGGTGTAATTGAATCTTGATTGCTAATAGCCTATTCACATGTGAGTTCAATCCTCATGCTACGTTACTATGAGGATTGTCTCTGACAATGGTGTACAACCTGTTGTGCTGGTGCTAACCACAAAAAGTGGAATTCACCTCAGCAGGGTCTAGGGCCTCCTGAGATGCCCCTTTGGATGTGCCTTTTATGTAGATAATTGAATTTTGCTTATATGCTTTCTGAACCTTGCTACTGGCTGTGTTAACTCTTGGGCCTCTTGGGAGGGGCTCTGGTGCAGGTCAATGTTAGATGCTTTTGTAACTGGCTCTGGCTGACCTGTTTGGGGGTACAAGGTGATCTGCTAGGCTTGGATGTGCATGGAAAGTACCAAGTTGCACACTGAGGCTCCACGAGGTCCACGGTCAAGTCTACAAAAGGCCTACGGCACCCCAAGATCTGCTCCCACCTGCCTCTGCCTGCCAGCTGCCTGGTAGGCTCAGTCATTGAAAGAACCTCTGCTGGTACTCAAGTTACATGAGGTTGGTTTTCAGCGAGTTGCCAGAGAGAGTGAATGTTGTTCACCAGATTAATACACATTCAAACTCTGTGCCAGTGCTGGATTTGAGGCCCCTCAGCAAAGGTTCAAGGGTAGCTGCCACCCACTGTGTGTCCAAAGACCTCTGTGCTTTGGCAGGGTCTCAGGGAATTATCAGGGTGAGACCACTAGGGTTTATCAGGTCCAAACAAACCAAGATTTGGCTGTGTAAAGGAAGGGCTCTTCAGCAGTCATGTTCACAAGAGACATGTGGCCGCCATGTTATAGCCACACCACTCAGTCACTGACACCTTCGGAGTCCTCCCGGTCTTTCCCATGCAGGGCCCAGGCAGCTGGATCCTCTGCAGGGCGGGAGTGGGCACTGCAGGCTGCAGCGACAGGGAGTCTGGGGCGTGGGGTTAAGCATTCCTCCGGCTGATGCCACACGGAGGGGAGTCCTCCACCCAAGAAGACGGCACCGGCAGTCTGGGCGAGGGGCTCAGCACTGGGGCCCTGGTAGCTGACCTTTCGGCTCTCCCTCCAGAGCCACAAACCCACGCTCTCCTCACATGGCTCCCGTCTGCTCTGCCCTCCTTCCACCAGAGCACAGGGTGAATGGCTATGGACAAGATTTAGTGCAATGTCTCTTTAAGAGGGGACCAGGGTCACTAGCTGACTTTCAACTCTCCCTCGTGGACAGAAACCCCACTGATTTTCGCAGCCAGGTGCGATGTGAGTGCCTCTCCTGGCTCGGTGCTCAGGGCTGGGGACCCTGCTGTGGGGCCGAGAACCTTCCCTCCCCAGGGAGAATGTCTGCAGCTGAGATTTCCCTCCAGAATCTCGGCTGCCTCCTGTGGGGGCCTCGCAGCCCTTTCTCCGTCCCCACTCTTCCTGCCCGTCTCACGTGGCTTTTCTTTAAACCCTTCGTTTGAAGACTTCTCTTCAACTAGTCTTCAGTGGGTTATTTAGGTTGATTGTTCTATATTTTAGTTGTAATTCCAGTTTGGTCCTGGGAGGAGGTGAGTGTAACTTTTACCTACACTGCCACCGTCTTTGATCTCTCTAAACGTTGCTCTTGAAATGTTGCTGTTATTATTTACTCAACAAACTGTCAGTAAAATAAACTTAAACATTCTGCAAACACAGACAGTAGACCAAGTCTTTCATCATACTATATATAAAAAAATACTAAGTATTTACAACGGGAAATGAGATTTTACATTTCATAGAGTTACCTTGAATTCATCTAGATAATTTACATCAAAACTGCCGCTCCTTGTCTAAGGTGTATATCCATCATGGTTAGTTTTTGTCAAAAAATTAATTAATAAGGTTTGAAGGGGATGTAATAAGGCATCGGGGCAGGAATTTTGACTCCTCTGTTCCATTCTTCGTGACCTGATGAAGTCAATATGAATATCTGGGAGGACTTTTAAAGCCTCAAACCCCAATATGTTCCTGCAGAATGGGGAGATTTTACTAAATACATGATATGAATTTTATTAACTTAACTATCTCTATTGCAAAAATGCTTTAGAATTGCTTCAGAGTCTCTAAGGTTGCTTCAGGGCTAGATTCTATTATTCTTTGATTACATTTATAGGCTGAGGAAGTGGAACTGGAAGGTCAGTGCACCCTTCACGATCCAGGTGACTCAACATGAATGAGAATCCGCCCTTCCCGGAGCTCAGCTGACTCCTGACCATGGAGAACCTCGTGTCCTCTTCCTGTCCATTTACTACAATCTCACACCAATGTCCATGCCCGCTGATGATTACTGTATGTAATTATGTTGAGGAGACAGCCAGAGTCTCTTCACAGGGAGAATTTGAGGAAGACTAGGTGATGGTTGGAGGACTCTCTAAGGTGATGGAACACCCTGGCTTGACCATGGACTGTAAGTACTACAATGTGATACATGGGAAAACAAAAATGTCTGTCATACCTTTTCTGCAAAAAGGCCCTTCATAGGGAGAACTGGTGCAATCGCAGAAGTACCCGCTGCGCTTCTCCACACACTTGCCCCCATTGTGGCAGATGCTGCCGTAGCTGCTGCAGTGGCCCGGGCACCCTGGTCGGACTCCAGATGTCACCTTGGCCCTCTCTTCCAGGTCCAGTCGCTGCCCATTCAAGTGTAAGGAGCGTATGCATCCTAGAAAGCCTTTCTGTTTGGATGATGTTCCTCCTAAGTGGTGAAAAACAGAAGGAAGATAATGTAAGCTACCATGGGGTTCAGTTGTTTTAAGTTTAATATTAGAATTCATAACAGTTGACTCTTGTTCTGTTGTGATGCTGTGCTGGACTTTTTCAATAAAGTTTTCATGGAGAATTAGAAATTTAAAGGGTCTAGGAAAAGCACGTGCCTTTTCAGGCTGGGAAACCCGCCCCCACACACACTCAAAAATTGTTTTTAAAATGTTCTAGCTCATATGGAACTTTGAACTTTACATATTTAAGGTAGACATGTGAAAAGAAGAACTTGTTATTTTCCGTGCAAATGGAATAAAGTGCATTATTAGTTTAGAGCTGTCAACTCTCTGAAATGGAACAGAAGCTGGTGGTCGGACTCATCTGGTAGGAAATGGGAAGGGCATTGTGATGATTATTTGGGCACTGTGATGTACCAGAAAGGGGGTGGGCTTTAGGACCAGGTAGACATGGAGACACACTCATGTTATAGATGATTAGCCATACTGACCACTCACTCAGCTGAGCCCTAGCTTCTTGATCTGTAAAATAAGAACAAGTCTATTCCATGTGTTCACAGTGAAGAGTAGTTAAGATATAGGAGATTCTCAGTCACTGCTTTTTGCTATCCCTGATCTTGAACACGCACAATTATGTCTCTCTCCCAAAGATTACAGCAAATAATTGTTTGGAAGACACATTTCTTCTAGAATACTGAAAAGGATTGCAACCCATCTTTCTGAGGGTACATCTTGAAAGTTTCAGAGACATCTGCAATGCTCATTGCAAATTATTCAACAACAGAGTCAATTCAAAGATTCAGAATGTTTTATTACTGTTGGAAATCCAGGATTCTACTATCTTAAACCTCTCATTTCAGAAAAATGTATATTGAGAGACAACAAGCCCAGAAATTAAGCTCAATCCCATCAGCAGATATTGATTTTGTGTTAAGAATTCTGGAAGTTCCCAGAGAAGACACATGTCCATCACTAAAGAGCCCGAGTTCTATTCCAAGCTCAATGCCTTGGGCTCCAACCCATGCACATAGGTCGTGGAGGACACTGCACGGGGTGCTGAAGGGGAGGACACGGTGTGCTGGGAAACTAGGACCGACTTCCATTTATTTTCCGTGGAAGACAATTCTGCTTTCTGAGCCTCATTATTTCTAGTTCTTCATATTGAAACTTTATTAAATCTTGGACCGGCAAATCCAGATATAAATATATCCCCACTAAAATGGATACAGATATGAATTTTGAATGTGCTATTCCAGACTAGGAGTATAGATGTTCAACAAGAAACAGAGCTGTCTGGTAAAGAAATGAAGATGTCGTGTACACATTTCCTGCCGTCAGTTAGCCTGTCAGGGTGGACAAGCAAATACTGGACATGAGGAGGGGGGCAATGCAGGGTGGGAGAGGGGAGAATTTTGCCTTCCCTGAATTACACCAGGTCATCAGACCTGTAAATATATGTACGGCCCTCGCTCTCTGCCTCCAAAGACAGAATGCTCCCTCCACGATTAATCTAGTCTCTTCTCCCGAAGGAATGATAAAGCTGCATCGTGTTGTCCGTTCTGGGAAGTGAGCCTCGAGCTGGCCAGGAGGTCAAACCCAAATCACATTCTCCTGTCTGTGTCAATATCGGTGAGTGCGTCTCCTCGAACCACAGGATCAATCAATTATAAGTAAAAGCAGACCGTGGAGGGAGGTTAATTATTTCTTTCCTGGAGATTGTGTAGAAAAAAGCAGACAGGATGTACGCAGTCAAACGCTTTGTTTTATGTTTCCCTCGTTTTGTAGTTGCTCCCTGTGGTGGATTTAAATAATTCTTCACATGTCTTGTTAGTGGCATTTTTTGTTTGTTTTTTCTAACAGAGGTGGAGAATGCAGAATCTGTTGTGACTCAGCTGACAAGTTCATAAATGTAAAAAGCAACTTGGGTGGTTTCTCTGACAGAAATGAGCCTCTTGAAGTTTGAGAAATATAGAACACAGTGAGCACGACCCAGAAAACAGGATCAACTCAATCCCAGACGCTGACAAAACAATCGACTATGAACGAAATGGCAAATAAACTAAATTTCAGTTTTTACCAGACTGCTGCTCATTCTTTACAAGGGAATAAAATACCAGAGGTTAGAAGACTTTATTCTTTATGGACAAGCAATACAGGGGTTGGCAACAGTCGGTTTATAGTTTTTCATATGGAAAATAATACGATAATAAATAATAGTATGAGAATACACTGTGTTTCATGTCCTCACAACAGCAAACTAATTTTGCCCACCCCTGTATGTAGACTCAGCAGAGAATAATTCTGGGAAGATGTTCCCCATCCACACATCATGCCCGCCAGAGTGTCAACATCGTCCATTTCTGACATTACCTACTAGGTGTACACTAGTGTTGGAGGTGTGACCCTCTGCGAAACGTAAATACTGTGCAGAGATGCACCCACAGTCTCCGCCCCCTCACTCAAGCTCCTCCCCCAGCCCCGCCCTGTGGTCTGCTTTCACAGGTATTGTGGACCCATCTGCTTCTTCCCACATCTGAGCACACCTCACTCAAATCCCAGCAACAATGGTCTAACTGATCTCCCAACTCTTTGCCTTGAGTCTTTTGATCTACTCACCACTTTGCAATCAGAGAGATCAACCACATGTAAAATTTTAATTCTGCTGGTCCTGTTTGTTACCCCTCAGAGAGTAGTTATTGCAGAAAACCCAGCTGAAATCCTTCGCATGGCTGATGTGCCACGAAAGAGCCGGCCCTCCTTCTCTCTCCATCTTCCCACTCTGACCCCAGGGCGGCAGGCATCCACATGCTAATGGCTCTCCACTGCCCCGTGGTCGGCCTCAACTTCCGACCTCCTCATGGACTTTGAATTTAGGTCATGAGCCCGGCAGGTGTGGCTCAGTGGTTGAGTGTCAAACCCTGCACCAAGAGGCCACTGGTTCGATTCCCAATCCCCAGTGGGGGCATGCAGGAGGCGGCCAATCGATGTTCTCTCTTATTAATGTTTCTATCTCTCTCTCCCTCTCCTTTCCTCTCTCTCTCAAATCAATAAAGAAAAATAAATTGAATTTATGTCATGTGGCATCTTCCCCCACGCTCCACAGCTCTCCTCCTCCCCCGCCATCACAAACACACCTGCACTCATAGACCACATTCCTTAGTTCACATAAGTCTTGCCTATCCACTATTTAAATTTTACACTTAAAAAAAAAAAAACTATTTAAAAGATTCTAATAATTCTCCACTAAGGAATCGGGAGATCTGTTGGCGGTGAACCTGCTTCCTGCAGGACAAGACTCAGCTGCAGGAAGAGGGACACTGTGGACACGCCCCGCCCGGTCCCCACCGTCACTTCACGCATTCACGTGGCCTTCCTGGCACCTGCACCCCTAGGCTTTTCTCTTTCCTTCTCTGCATCTTGTCTAGAGTTTACACAAGGTTGAAAGAAGAACAACAACAATGTAACATTATTCTTAAGGTGCTGAAAGTCACTTCACTGAGGCTCATACTTAATTGGCAAGAGAATCAGAATGATGCCTCAAATTCTAAAAAAAATATCAAACATAGTTGCTGTATGCTAGAAATGTTATAATGAACTCACTGAATACTCAATGGGGAAACAAGGTATCATCATGTTATTCACATTGCACAGTTTATAAATCTGTGTCACTGACATTACTTTGGCTAGAGTCAAGAATCTAACAGATTGTATACAGCAGAGCCAGGAGTCAGACTGAGACCCCCTAATCTTCAAAGACCGTGTACCTTCACACCCCTAAATCCTACAATGAACTATTTGATTAGACAATTTGGGTCAGTACTGCAACTAAGTGATTTTTCTACTTTCTTCCTCTGGTGTCCTACATGGTTCCTTCTACCAAGTAACACGCATGTATGCATTTACTCCCCTGGCTTTCAGAGCCTCCTCCTGACAGCAGTCGGCTGGCCTGCTAGAGGTACTGCTGTGTGAGACTCCGCGGTTGCCCTTGGTATCAAGTGTGTCCATTGCAATGCTGCTTCCTTGGACTAAGCATGAATCGACTCTTGAAAACTGACTATCATCATTTTCAGCCTGTCTGAGCAAACCTCCATGTGTCACCTGGACACATGTTCCCTCTTCCAGAGAAAGAGCTCAATTCCCTGTGCCTTCCGGGCACATGTACAAGAGCCCCCATTTCTCCTGTGTGCCCTCACCACACCTGACATGGTTCGCCTGAAAACAGGCATATTAATTCCCTTCCAGCGTGGGAAATAATGCAACTTCATGATTTATCAACTCAGTGTAGTACTTTCCCCATGAACTTATAAGTTGGGAGTAACCTTGGTTTATTTTGACCCAGATAAAGAAGCCAAGACCAAAATAAAATAAAATAAAATACAAAAACGTAAAAAAAAAATAAAAGATAAAAAGATCCACGAAATACCCAAAAAATAAGAAGGAAGAAAAGCCACACAAAATGAAATTCACAAGCCGACACCTTTACCAAAGGCCCATTCAATAATTTCGGCTCATCTGGAAAAATGAGATGGGAAATATGGGGAGAAGGAGACTTTTCCTTGCTCCTACACACATCGGCATGGGGATAAAGATGTCATTCCTACCGTGTACATGGAGAGAGCAGATCCTCACACTGTGAAAAGTAGTTACCGGCCTCATCACCTTGCTCTGCAGGTAAGGACAATAAGCACACCTGGGCTGTTTTCCTACAAAGGCCTATTGGCAGTTCACCTGGCGCTCACACCCAGGTCTCCTATGTCACTGTTGGCCATGGGCACTAGTTCTTGGACTTCTCTTGCCTCATCCTTTTACAGACTGCACATTAGTAGGAAATGGTGAGACAGATGAACAAGACCCCGGTGAGGGTCGAAGCCGGGAAGTCTGAGCACATAGTAACATTTCAGAAGCCCCAGGTCATAGCTTCTCCTGCTTGGTTACATTCGACCAGTGAAACAGGATGGCAGTCCACGTAATTATCGCGGGACGGAAGCCTGTTTCGGGAATCCGGCATGCATTGGCTGATCATCAGCACCTCACCTGGTCACATTCGGACAGGAGAGGTGTGCTAAGAGATTTATGCTAATTTGTGAAACAGCCGTTTCTGGTGCTCAGCAAGTGCTCCCGAGCACAGCGACAGTGCCAGTGGTCACAATGCTGAACGAAGCTCTGCTTTGATTGAAAAATAGTCCATTGGCTGAAGGTATCTGGAGACTGCCAAATTAATATTTAAGTACAGTCATAGTCCACTTTTCCCAGGGAAGGAGTATATGCTATGCTATCTGTTTCTGCCCAATAAGTAAAAATACCCAGTGTCTCTAAATGTCTAAGTGATAGGGAATGCGATTCTTCATTTTGACTGCTATAGCCACATAGAGCATATTTTTGTTGTTGTTTGTTTTGTTGTTTTTGCTCTTTTTTTGAACCCCTAAATTATAAAAAGTAGAGATAGTGCACCTTCAGCATTTCCAGCCTCCTGATGTTTCTAAATGGATGTATCACTGCACACTAAACAACAAAATTCAAACCAACAAACTAAAATGACCTCTGACAGCATTTCTCTTCTTCAAGTACATTAAGACAAATTCAATAAAGCTGGGCAACATCTGAGATGTAATTTATTGGAGAGAAACGCAGAGCAGGTGCGCTCACCACAGCTGACCTTGGCTCCTCCTCCAGCAGGATGTCTCCTCCAGCCCACCCACATGCCTTACAGCTCACTGTCTTTGTGATCGATTTAATTGAAACGTCTGGAGAAAAAAACCTGCCATGAATCACAGCTTCCTCTTTTCCCCTGCTGACTTGCAAAAAGTTATCACATATTCAGAACATATGATAATTTCACAGCTACATGAAATTTGCATGAACAGATCAAAGAATTATTCTATCTTTATATACACATTTTAACCTGAAAGATTCATAAATACTGCCTGAAGATAAATTCAACTTCGGCATGAATATAATTTATGAAAATCGAAAACCACTTGAATTGATTTCTCTCTCTCTCTCTCTCTCTCTCTCTCTCTCTCTCTCTCACACACACACACACACACATTAAACCTTGATGATTTAAAAAATATTCAAGGAAATAAAATGTGATGTTTCAAGAGAATCAAAACATCAATACGATTTAAAAAATATTTTAGTAGTACATTATAACATTTGAGTAGGTTCCTAATGAAGTAAATGCCTTATAATCATAACCATTTTTAATCACTTATATCTTAGCTTCTGCTAGATATGAAAAGCATGGCAGATAAAGAAAGAACAATTTCTGTTGAGAAAATAAAATATTACATATTCTGTTACTTTTCTTTTAGCTCCTGTGCTTTTAGGGACTACTTTTCTCAGATTTAAAAATTTTACAAACCCAAATTTAAAGGAAGCAAATAAAAGCACCCATTGATTATGGATGGCACTGTGTTATTGACAGGAAGACTCAGCAGTGTGAGAGTTGGTTAAATAAGAAAAACAAAAAGAAAAGTACATCTGGTTGACCGCCAACACTTGGACCCTATTTATATCATTGTTCTAAGCTTTTGAACGTCACATTTTCTAGAAGGGCAGCTTCTTGGCTTTGATAATATTCTAACATCCCCCACATGTACAGCTCTATTTTGTACTTTGAAGCGTTAAATGCCCTGCTCAACAATTTTATAAAAATCCTTTCTAAATAAATAGCTGTAAGACCGAGCTTCCCTACCTGAACTAATGAAGCTAGCCTCATGCACATAAACATGCACACACACACGCACACATACACACACGCATGCATGCACATACACACGCACACACTCATGCATGCACACACTCATGCACATGCACACATGTACACACATACACATGTGCACACACACATGCATGCACACACACACAGCTGCGGGCTCTGAAAGCAGAGTCATTGTACCACCTGACAATGTACCTGGCGTAGTCTGTGTCAGTGACTATGGAATGAATGAATGAATGAATGAATGACTCAGTGAATGAGCCTCTCTAGTCCCTGTGACCAGCAGTGGCAGCCAGTTCAGATGAACCACTTGTCTGAAGTCTGACTCTGAGTCCCAGTGGGGGAAGGAGCAGTGGGGAGCCATTTGGTTGGGGAGTCAAGACTGATTTTCCGTTTGAGAGGAAGGCAGTCACCCAAGTGATGTGATTTCAGGGAGGACCAAAGCAGGTCCTAGTTCGAAAGCCCGCAGTCCCCCATCATGTGGTTGATGACTAAAACCCATTTCAGATGGTGCAGCATATTTTATTACACTGTTATTGATACTTCTTAGGAGTTAAGTATCAGCCAAAAGGAAGTACGGCCCACTGACTTGGAGTCAGCACCACTGAGATGTAAATAGCTGACTATTCTTTTTCTAAGGACATATTATGATTATAAAAACAAAAAATAATAGGGGTCCCTGGATATCAAAATGTCATATCCACAAGGATAAAAGATACAGAAAGAGTCTGAGATCATCTCAACATTTGCTATGGGGTGACATCGTCTTCTACTGCCCTAGCTAATATAGCAAGCAAGAAAGAATGTGTGTAATAAAAATTATAATTGTAAATGTTTTATGACACATTTTAATCATTTCTCAGGTCGCAAATAAAAGCAAGGTCCCTTGGATGTGGCCAAGGAGTGGCTTTGGAGGGTTTTGAGCACAGAGGGCGCCTTGACATGACCCTACCTACAAACAACTGGCTGTTCAGTTGCAGTCGGAAATGGCCCTCCTCCGAGGTCTCCCTGCTCGTCCTTGGGAGGCTGTCCACCTGGAGGGAGGTCACCTTGAGGTTCCTCTCGGCCCGGACATAGTGCCACTGGTTGTCATTCAGAGGAGAAGGAGACTGGACTACGAGCTCTACGGGGCCGTTCCCCACATCGATGGCAAAAGTGATGTCGGAAGGAGCTGAAACCAAAAAGGGAGACGGGGAGAAGAGGAAGGGAGTGTCAGAGAGGTCAGGGCAGAAGCACACCGTGAATGAAGGCTGTACACATCGTGAGTCAGCAGCCAGGCGAAGACTTCATCTGAAGTCCCCGCAACACCAGAGTTACCATTAACAGTCATATCTGCCAAATACTACGGTTCAGGTTCTCATCTGGGCCCATTGGTCCTGATTGTGAGGATGCAGGTAATAGGGTGGAACCTGGCACAGGGACGTTAGTCTGGTGGACACGCATGGTGCCAGGGTTCTGGGTTCTCTGTATCTATTCTGGCTTCACCTGTATTCCCCTAGATTCCCATGGATGCCGGGTTAGTGCGGCAGTTCCAGACCTACAAGGGAAGTTCCATGACTAGACAGCTAGTGATCTTCTCCACGTTATTTTCTTCTTTACTGATTTTATATTTATTATTTATTTATTTATTTATTTATTTATTTATTTATTTATTTATTTATTCTTTTTATCCTCACCCAAGGACATTTTTGCATTTATCTTCAGATAGAGCAGAAGGGAGAGAGGCAGAAAGAGTGAGAGAGAGAAACATTGATATGAAAGAGACACATCAACTAGTTGTCACCCACATGACCCCAACCAGGGCCACGGACAAACTGAGGTACTTGCCATTAGTGGGAACCAAACCTGGGACTCTCTGGTCCACAGGTCAATGCTATAACTGCTGAGACAAATCAGACAGGACTCTTGATTGATTTTAGAGAGAAAGGAAGGGAGAGAGAGAGAGAGAAACATCAATGATAGAGAACATCGATAGAGAACAATGATAGAGAACAGTGGGGGCCTCCTGCATGCCCCCACTGAGGATCAGGCTCACAACCTGGGCATGTGCCCTGACTGGGAATCGAACTGGCAACCTCTTGGTGCAAGGTCAATGCTCAACCACTGAGCCACAGCGGCCAGCCTTCTCCATGTTATAATACATGTGATATAAGCATTCACACTCTTACCAAGATTAAAAAACAAAGAGGCTCAGAAAGTCGATGTGTCTTGTTCAAGGAGACATACTTGCAGGGGTGGTGCCTGGGGAGAAACACAGGTACACCCGCCCCACTCGGGCCCTTTCCCTGACCCTCCCTCTGCGTCAATGTGTGTCATTCAAGATGGGGTGGCCAGCCAGGGCCAGTAACACCTCAAACGGTGTGACAGTGGTGGTGGTGGTGGTGAAAGGGCCATGAGCCAGGGAGAAGCAGCAGCAGCCACGGCACGGGAGGTCCAACCAGCTGTGCCAGGTCCTGTACTGAGCACCAACCATAGATGCTATCATTTTATTTCATTTTATTTAGTTATTTTCTTTTTTTTAATCGTCACCTGAGGACATTTCTGTATTCATTTTCAAATAGAGTGGGAGAGAGAGAGGGAGGAAGAGAGAGAAAGAGGAACATCGACGTGAGAGAGATACATCAACTGGCTGCCACCCACACGACTCCAACCAGGGCTGGGAACAAACTGCAATCAAGGTACATGCCCTTAGCGGGAACTGAACCCAGGTATCTCTGGTCTGCTGGCCAACGCTCTTACCATTGAGCCAAACTGGCCAGGGCTTTGTGGTTTTTTTTTTTTTCTTTATTGATTTTAGAGACAAAGGAAGGGAGAGGAAGAGAGAGAGAAACATCGATGAGCGAGAACATCAATTGGCCGCCTCCTGCATGCCCCTTCAATAGGGATGGGGCCCACAACCTGGGCGTGTGCCCTGACCAGGAAACCGGCGACCTCCTGGTGCATGGGTCGATGCTCAACCACTGAGCCACACTGGCCAGGCAGATGCTATCAATTCTCAAAACAAATCTATGAGAAAGGCATCATTTTTTAGTTCCTTCTTATGGTTTAAAAAAAAAAAAAAAAAAAATTGAAGTTCTTAGAAGTTTGAATGATTTTCTCAGATTTTCCCAGATAGCAAGTAAAATCTGACTCCAAAAGTAGAATTATTCACTATTTTTTTCTCAGTTGAGTATACGTTATTACATTTTCCATTGATCCGTGAAAGTTTTTTAATCTGAAGGGCATGGACTGGTAACCTATAGATTGAGGTTGAGGAGGAGACAGCCCCTTTCAGTCGCTGGACCTGTCCCTGTCAGAATTCCCTTCTTCCTCAGGACTGTGAGCTGAGCCCTCTCCTCTACCCTACAACCGAGCATGGGTGTTATCCGACAGCGTCTCCAACTGCAAGATCTGAATAATCAAAGGTGAAACTGCACCGGGACTGCTCCCTCCTTGGCTCTGAACCCTGACAGAAAGCCGGTCTTGGCCTGAGGAGCCCCAGTCTGCAGACGTTTGCGTCACTGAGAACTTGAATTGCTGTTCGGTCTGGCAAATGTGAGCCCTGCCCGAGAGGGAAGCAGTAGGTAGGGGACTTAAAAGCAAAATTGGAGAGCGTGGACTCTGGACCCACCTCGGGCCAGTTTCCTATCCTGTCTCTGCTCAGATTTCTCATTTGTAAAATGAGAATAAAAACAGCACCTTACTGTCAGGTTCTTTACAAATGAAACCTCGTGGATTTTAAATCTTCATCACATGCAAGACAACTTGTATTGAAAACATTTTTGTACAACTTAAATATCAAAATACAGTACCAGAGAGTACAAATTGGACGTTGAGATGTAATTAACACTAAGTCATCGCTCATTACCCTGTGATGATAAGCCGTGACATTAGTGGCTGCTGGAATGAATCGAATGGCCTTGGGGGCTAATTTTTATTAGATTTGCGTTGTGGTTATTACATTTGCGCGGAAATGGTTGGCACTCATCTCCACCTTTTCAGTTCCAGGCCCTTAGTTACCAGGGATCTTATTTCACGCTCAAGCCAGGAGCTCCCTCCCTTTGAGGGGCTGGATTGTTGGAGGGAAGGGAGCTGGAACCTGCGGGTTAGGGAATCCCTGCCCTGGCGCGCAGCGTGTGCGTCTGGGGAACTGCTGCTGCGCGATTTGCAGGAGAGGGGTCAGACTGCCGCCACCTCTCTGGCCGGGGCTTTGCTCTTTTTCTGGGGCTCTTCAATTTTCGGGTTTCTGTTGGTAAGATATTCCTTGTGCTTTCAAGGGTATATGATGAGGTCACATTATTGTAATACGGTCAATTGCCTCAATCAAACTGTGGAAAACATCCATTTCGACACAGATAAATTACGCTCTTAATGACAAGCAGGAGTCTTCATGGTCATGGATGTAACAACGGCAAGGCAGGGGGAATAGTGCACCTGCACATGCGAAACGAGGGGTACCCTGAGCATAGAAAGTAGGAAAACCAGCCTCAGCCACGGAAAGTAGAACAGATTTCATGATTGCTAGGTACCGGTGACTCGAAACATCAGTGATAAAACAATCCTCTAAGAAAAAAAAAAAAAAACTAATTTTTTTGGTCTAAGTTCTAACCAATGTTAATGTTAGTATTCATTTTTAATAGTGTCTAGGTAAGCCTCAAAGAGCACCTTTTATTACTAACCATTTAGGAAATATATTCAAGATGAAAATGAATACAGAGAACTCCAGATAGATGGCTGACTCCTGAACATGCTGACTCAGAAGTACAGGCTGAGGCAAAAGTAGGCTTACAGTGGTCCATGTGGAAAATAATACAATCATTAATAAGTAACAATGCAAAAATTAACTGTTACACATTCTCCCAGCTGTAAACCTATTTTGCCCCACCCTGTATTTGCTTTTAAGAGTAAGAGCTCAAGTTCTGATTTTTCACTTTTATAATTAACATGCTATTCTTGTTCAATTCAAATCTGTTGAGCACTCATTTTGTACCAAAGAGGGTGTGGGCACAAAGTGCACCCAGAGAGCTCAAGCAAATCCGAGTCCTCAGAAACTACAGGTTTTTACCAAAGAGAATAGCAATCTAAGATGATTGTTTTGTTTAGTAAAAATATTTTAGTGGATTAATTTTAATTGCAGAGATATTTGAAAGTTGTTGGATTTGATTCTGAAAAATGTACCTGGAAAGTAATGCAATTTTTAAAACTTATTATAAAATGGGATTTTTATAAATTTGTGCAACACGTGTCCTTATGTTTAAAACTTTTTCCTGAAATGTATACTTCCACTGCTCAATGTGAAAATACATTAATTTGAAAGTTATAAAAAGTGCCATTTAATACATATCACAGAAGATATGTGAATAAATCTGATTATCATCTTTTGAACATGAACATGCAAAGAAAATAAATTTCGATGAAATCATACATTTGTAGAAGTAACGTCTAAGGAGCATAAGTTTTAATGGTGTTATTGTTACTAGACAAACCCATATGTAGGTATGACTTTCCCCTTTTTATAAAAGTCATGTACTTTAAAAGTATGTATTTATTCTATCATCTTTCTTTTTTTACTGGAATAATTTTATTGACAAGTTTATATATTAAATTTTGATACTAGAACATCTTACCATCTGAATTTCTATCATCTTTCATTTAAATTTATTATTATTTCTGAATATAAGTTGTATATAAATGATAGGATGTTAAAAAAAATGATCCATCCTGTCATCAAATGCACTAGATAGACCAAAGGTCATGGTGACATGGAAGAGAAACAGTGGGGATTCTCATTGGTTATGACACACTCCTCGTAGTGGAACATAAGTGAGAGAATTACAAAAGTGCAAAGGTGCAACAAAAAGTGGACCCCAAATATGGGTAGAATGCATAAAAATAAACTTTAGCTTTCCATGTAAATTGTTATGAACGTGTCTGTGGTGTGGGAGCTTCAAGTCATAGGTAAGAAACACCCACGGATCAGATCAAGTACACGGCCGTAGGTGCCCATGGGAACTTGGGGAAAGCACTGTTATGGGGAGAGAATAACTGATTAAATACTGATAGGTTATAATAATACAAAAAAACATTAGAAGGAACTAGAAATGGTCATTGCCAGTTCGGCAGATGTCCGGTGAGATTTTGTGGGACACATAGGCAAAGATGAGACTGGAATTTCTTTTGCTGACCAATTACATTAGTAATTCATAAATGAGGGAACTTACAGCTTATTTCAATTCGGATAAAGTCTGTAATGCCAAGATTTTCTAGGAAAACTCCAGACAGAGCCGTGGTTTTAAAAAAGAAGGAAATATCCGCGCTGAATTCCGCATGGAAGGTGGGAAAGTGGAGGTAGGAGGCTTCTGTGTAAAACGAGACAGCATTCCAGAAGTGACCTGCAGAGAGAAAACCTTTGAGCATCGCTGACTGTTTTGGAATGGGGGACAGAAAGCTGGGCATGTGCATGATAACTCTCAAGCCTGGGGGAACTGCTGGGAAAGGGGTAAGGGAAAAAGAACACCCTGTGCTTGTATCGTGCAGAAAGAAACCTTTCATTAATACTCACGGTCACCATAGCAACGCAAGGGACCAATTCTCCAAGCAGCTTCCGAGTTTGATCTGTTGGTGTCAGTGATGACTATCTGAGTGACGGGCAAGTGGTCTTTGAAGGAAAGAAAGCCAGTATCATTTGTCCTGCAAAACATAAATGTAAGAAAAAAAGAGGAGAAAATGTGGTTAATCTGGGGATGCTTTACCAAGACTCTTTTAAAAAGCGATTAGGGTCGTTGCAGCAGGAAGGGACAGGGAGGAGGGTAACAGAGGGCCTTTTATCTCCTAAACGTGTGCAAAAAACAAGACTGTCAATTGCAAAACCCATGGCCAGCTTCCAGAGCAAGCAGATTTTCCATCTTCCCTAAGTCCTTCCAGAAACACACACAGTTTGCTGAGCTTGCTTCTGCTTGCTGTCGTAGGAGCACACACCTGCCCAGGGCTGTGCAGACAGGATATGGGACACCACCTATCTCAGGAGTCCGCCTGAAACAGGCATCACAAGTCCCCCATGAAATCCCTGCAAGGCCTCTTTCAGCCACCTGCCAACAGTTTTCAAACAGTGTAGGATGCTTCTTATCACCTTCTAACTCAAGGTAAAAACAAGTCTTTACAGTTACTGTTGGTTGCTTGTCATTGTATTGTGCATTTTAGGGATCTTGGTAGTTAAGGACTCTGGTTGTGTCTTTGCTGATCATGAAAGTAGGAAACTGACTAGTCACCCTTTGACAACAATTTTAAAATACTGGTGTAAAGCTATTGATTTCTTTTTCTCTTGTAAGTTGTGTTTTGAGACTATTGATAACAATATACCATTTAGCTGAAAGTAAAAGAAAATGTAGGTAAGTAACTGGTATTGAATTAATACATATTTTGAACCAGCAATATACTAAGAAATAAGTGTATTGTCCTCACACAACACCCCGTGCATTGGGTGCCATCATCCCTGTTTATCAGTGAGAAAACTGAGGCTCAGAGATACTAGAAAATTTTCCTAAGGTCACACCACTGAAGGAGCAGGGCAGAGTCACATGCTTGGTATCTATTCATGTCTAAATTTTACAAGTAATGTCATAAATACATGTTCATCTGAGTGGAACTAAATCATATGAGGCAACCTGAGAACCACACCCAAGTGGGAGCACTTCCCACTAACAGCTGCAGGTAAACGCAGGATGGTGCTTCTTGCTGGAACATGGGAATTGGGAGGCAGAGTGACACGCACCAGTATTCAGGGCAAAGTATATAACGCACAGCAAGTTGATAACGAGAACATAAAGGAGCAGATTCATTTTGCTTCTCTCTGTATTCACAAAGAAGTCCACAGAACACACAAAATCAATATAATATGTCATTATCATTTATAGCTCTGAGTTTAGAGACAACAAAGATGATATTCCATATTATTAATTGAGGAAACACTGCAAAGACCAACTAGTGCGATGAAATGCTTTGAGGATGTAGCTTTAGAAGCAGATGGATTTGTTCTGGAATCTCAGTCCGCGTTCCCAGCTCTGTTGGCTTGGGCAACCCGCTTTATTTATGAGATTCCCCCATGTCCTCAGCTTTAGAATGGAGATATATGCCACATTACAGAGTCATAGAGAAGATTACATGAGATTATATAGTCACTGAGCATTGCGTCTGATCTACGGGAAATGCTGAAGAAGGGTGGTAGGGACACTTGCTTTAATTCTCAGAACTAAGACGTGTGTTTCTATTTGAAAGTACATCTGTGAACATTACTTGGACACAGAATAAATTTTGTCTTCTCATTTCTATATATTTTTAGGGAGAGATTTCAAAGCAAATTGCAGGTAGTCAAAGTGGAATAGACCAAACCTACATCCTCTTTCAAAGTAACTCTGTAATTCTGTAGGATTCATTGACCTCTATCTTTATTTTCAAGTTGGAATGGTCAATTCTGAAGTTTGCTAAGTACTGCCCACCTTACTCACGGTGACCCTACCTACATCCAGTTGATGTCCTGTCAAAGTGTTAGGATATTCAAACAGCTCTCCAAGAATAAAAATCTTTTACCAATAAAAGCGAAAAACAGTTATATTAAGTTTGATGATGCATTCCACATGACCAAAAATCAGTTTTATCTGAAAACTAAAATAAATACATAAATGAATGAAACTGCTCTCCAAAGTTGCTTAATGAGATAGCAACAGATACAAGGCGAATGCCTATAGGGACCAGAAGAGGAACACGAATGTGTGAGGTTGGCTTCATGCCAGATGATGGAGAACCTGACTCAGCCTCACGGCCGGGGGGAGAGGGAGAGGCACCGAGACAGGAAGACTGTGCGAGAAGGAGCTCTGTCTAAAGGAGGCATTGGCGTGCATTAGGAAAGGGGGAACTATGCGATTCATGAATATAGGACCAGAGGGCTAGCCTGGAATAGTAATGCAAAACTTCACAATGTTTGAATCTTGGCAATGGATTTAAAAATCTTAGAAAAATAAAAGAAAGTGTGGTGGGACCTAACACCCGCACTAGCCGATAACATGCATGTTCAGCTGTCAGGGACCCTGGGCATCAGAGGGGCTTTGAATATTTATTCATGCTCTTAGGGTCACATTGAGAATAATAGTGGATTTTATTCATGTAGCAAGTGACACGTATAATTCAACCCTTTGAAAGCATTAATGGGTAGACTATCTGGAGGGTGGGTTGTGGTGGTGGATTTTAACCATAAGAAAAGGATCCAAATTATGGTGGTGCCGATCGATCGATAAGCAGGGAGTCTACAGTTGTAGATTTGACTGTCTACACATTAACTTGTTTTTCTTTCTCTATTGCTTGAACAAAATTTTACAGACTTTGTCATCATTTGGAATATACCAGACTCTCTCTAAAGGGACAGGGTACTTATGTACTTTATATGTACATGCATGTTTGCATTGTAATGTATTGCCATCTAAATCAGACTGGCCAGGTTGGATAAATGTGCCTCAATACACTCTGTGTATGATGTCTGTGAGGCTACTCCCTGTATGATGTCCGTGAGGCCACCCCCGTATGATGTCCGTGATGCCACCCCCTGTATGATGTCCGTGAGGCCACCCCCGTATGATGTCCGTGATGCCACCCCCTGTATGATGTCTGTGAGGCCACTCTGGGCCTCAGTTTCCTTATCTTTTTAAAGAAGTTAATAATACGAATTTGATATACCAAATGAATATAAAACAGTTAACACAGAGACTATTACATAGTAGGGACTCAAGTAGTTGTTGAAGTTCCCAGCAAAGTTTGAAATTTAAATGTGAAATACAAATTATTTTTAAAAGGGAAATAAGGAATGGAGCCCCCCGTTGCTGAAGGGTACGTGAGCAGTCCAGCCAGATTCCAGCCCTTCGAGGCCCCGAGGGCACAATGAGTGTGAGTCTCAAGAATCATGTATGACCTAAAAAAATGTGTATGCCTTGAGAAAAAGAATTGAGAAAAACATTCTCAGGAGCAAAAGTATGGCACACTAAGTGATGGAAAAAACTAGATCCAGAGACATGGAAGTAGGGACCTGACTGACAAACCTCGGAAGGAGGGGAGGTGGGGCAGGAAGAGAGGAACCAAAGAACTGACTGGCACAGAGGCCTGACCAACGGACACAGACAGCAGTGTGGGGAAGCAGGTGGTGGGTGGGAAGGAGCGGGGGGGAGGATGTCAATGGGGGAATAAAAAGGAGGGGCATCTGTAATACTTTCAATAATAAAGATACATATTTTTAATAGTATGGTACAGAATTAGTCAATGTAGTCTCCTTTCAGTTGAGTATCTGAATCTTGAGATTTTATCAAATCCAGACTTTCAGAGCACAACAGGTGTGTCTGATTTCTTCAGGACATCATGCAAGTCTGGTGAAACACCACATGTCCCATTTGCTTTGACAAAGCGATGTTTGTAAACTGCTGCTCTGTAAGCTTCTTTTAGGAGAGTCATTTGGGTGACTGAGTCTATAAAGAGTTGATTTTTTGTTTCTTTTTTCGTTTTATATCCTCTCTCAGTCACTCAAAAGTAACAAATAAAACATTATATATAAGATAGAACAAAATATAAATCTATGCACAAAATTCCAGACTGCAGCTCCCGAAGAAGCCCTGTGTGAGTCTGAGTGGATTAGTCTCAGGACACTCTGCACACCTCCCTCGAGTGGATGACAAGATGCTCACTACTGCCTACAGCTGTGACGGCAGAATGGCCAGCAAGACACCCATCAGCACCCCGCATGTCTAAAGCACCTTGTTGATGCTTGCCACTAATTCTATCCTAAGTTTGGCAAAGGTGCTTATTTTCCTTTTGTCTTCCTTCTAAGAATTTCCAGGTAAAACAGAAGCAGGGGATGAAATGAAAAGAAGCTCAAAATGGGGAAACTAAGAAAATAATTGCATTTACCATATAAACCAAAAAAATAGAACATCTAGGAATAAAGGCATGTTTTCAGAAAATTAGAAGACATTGAAAAAAGAAATAGAGGAAGATATAAAAAAATGGAAGCATATACCATGCTCATGGAAAAGTCAACATCATTAAAATGTCCATACTACACAAAACCATCTACAGATCCAACACAACCCCTATAAAGTACCAATGGAATATTTCACAGATCTAGAACAAATACTCCAAAAGTTTATATGGAAAAAACGACCCCAAATAGCCACAGCAGTTTTGAAAAACAAGAACAAAGTGGGAGGGATCACAATACCACATATCAAGCTATACCATAAAGCCAATGTGATTAAAACAGCCTGGTATTGGCACAAGAACAGGCATATAGATAAATGGAACAGAACAGAGAACCCAGAAATCAGCCCGAGCTAGTATGCACAATTAATATCAATATAGGAGGCAAGAGCATACAATGGAGAAAAGACAGTCTCTTCAATAAATGGTGTTGAGAAAATTAGACAGCTAGATGCAAAAAAAGAGAAAAGAAACTAGACCACCAATTTACACCATACATAAGAATAAACTCAAAATGCATAAACAACTTAAATGTACTTATGAAACCATAAAAATCCTAAAAGAAAATGTAGGGAGAGAAATATCAGACAACATACATACTGATACATCACCTAAAGCAAAAGAAACAAAGGAAAAAATTAATAAATGAGACTACATCAAACTAAAAAGCTTCTGCA